CACCGGCGGAACCTGCTGAGGGTTCCCCTGATGCTGATTGTAGTCTCCGTCCATCCCGTACTCTTCTTCAGAATCGCTACTCAGGTGGCCGTCTATGCGCTCTTCCGTAGCCAGTCTAGCTCGTTGTTGTCTCCTGAGCTGGTGACAGGTGCAGTCAATCTCTGGATTCAACGGCAGTAAACCTCCTGACTGGCTACAGGTCATGCACTACCTGCACACACTCAAGCAAGCAAACCCGTGAAGGCACAAGTGGGACAAACCAAACAAAGCAAAAAGAAAAGCTAAATTAACAGAAATCACTTTTCTTCAACAACCTAGCCGTCCCCGGCAACGGCGCCAAAAACTTAACTCACTTCTACTATCACCCTAGGAATTGGCCAAGTGGAACCACTTCCTAAAGCGTAGTATAGCGGGTTTAGGTTTAATTATCAACCCGGGTCCTAGATTTGATGACTACTCAGTGAATTCTTGTTATCTAGAATTGAAACTTTAATGCAAATCTAAGCTAACAAACTAACAAAGCAAGTAAACTGTTGTATTCAAGTTAAGAGAGGTCACCCGGATATGGTTCCCCCTAGACTGCAGTTAAGCCGGATTGTAATTACCAAGTTCAGTTTCTATGATAGTTATACTGCGGAAGGTTCTTAAACAGCCTGAAGTCTCGACTAAAGGTCTTCAGACCCTCTCAATCTGAGTCTCTAGCGGGCGACTAACCTCCACCGGAGTAAACAGATTGAGGCCTTAACAAACAAAACCTCCACTACCGGAGTAAATCCGGTAAAGAATAGTGAGTTGGCTCCTCGACTAAAGTCACCAACTCCCTACCTTCAATCAAGGATGCTCTATCAACCTAGGCAGATATTCTCATTCTAGGTTAAAGCAAAAACAACAAGAATTTGATCAGGATTCAAGTCATTCAATCATTCAAACCTCAATCGAATATAATCAACTCATAGAATCAGTACTTGGGTTCATACAATCAAAGCCTAACATACAAATCTAGGGTTCTCCATACCGAGATGAATGGGAGAACTACTCCATGGAGAAAGAAGCAAAAGCAGAATTAGACGCGGAATTCATACTGTGAAGGATGGATTCCTGCTCCTGGACGTTGATCGGCACTTCTCCAAGCTCAAACTGGCCTCCAATGGTGATGAAGATCAAGCTAGGAATCTCTCTGTCTCTCTAAAACTCCAATCCCCTCGACTTGTGGCTGAAAATCTGCTTAAAAGCAGAAAATCCCGACTCGCACGGGCAGGCCGCACGGCCGTGTGGCTCACCCAGTTGCCCGTGCGAGTCAGAATGCAGCGCATCAATTAGTTAAATTCCAGGCTTCTTGCACGGCCAGGGTCGCACGGCCGTGCAGCTCACCTTGCACGGCCTTGCAGATTTTCTGCTCTGCCCGTGTTTGCTCTCGCACAATCCAACACGGCCAAATTGGTCACTTGCACGGCCGTGCGGGTTGTGGGTGTGCCCGTGCGACTTCCTTTGTGACTTGCCTCGCGCCCGATCTTCGCCCAATCGACCCCGAACTCGCTCCTAAACCTTCATTCACTTGCCAGGACCTGAAATATCACAAACAAGCACAGCCTAGCGTGAAATCGGTCTAAAACACGAGAAACCACATCTCAAACGGTGTAAGAACAGGGGTGAAAACATGTGTAACTAACGGTCTATCACCCAACTACCCTGTTGTCTAGGGGGCCGTTTCAAGAAGCAATGAGAGAAGCTGGCATGGTCCTCATCATGTGTTGCACATTACAGGCGAATGGAGAACAAACTTTTGTCCACGAGTCCATTCAACCACTATTACAAGAGTTTGCCGATGTGTTCCCGGCAAGCCTGCCCAATGAGCTGCCACCGTTGCGTGACATCCAGCACCATATCGACCTGGTTCCCAGTGCGGCCCTCCCCAACCGTCCACACTACCGAATGAGTCCGCAAGAGCACGAAGAGCTCCGTCGCCAGGTCGAGGACCTCTTATCCAAGGGCCACATTCGGGAGAGTCTCAGTCCTTGCGCCGTACCCGCTTTGCTCACGCCGAGGAAAGATGGATTCTGGCGCATGTGCGTTGATAGTCGGGCCATCAACAAAATCACAGTTCGTTATCGATTTCCCATTCCCCGCCTCGACGATTAACTCGATCAACTCGGGGGTGCCTCTGTGTTCAGTAAGCTTGATTTGAAGAGTGGGTATCACCAGATTCGCATCCGCATGGGTGATGAATGGAAGACGGCGTTCAAAACTCGAGAGGGTTTGTTCGAGTGGCTCGTTATGCCCTTCGGCCTATCCAACGCGCCAAGAACATTCATGCGAGTGATGAATCAAGTTCTACGACCATTTATTGGTCAGTGTGTTGTCGTTTATTTCGATGACATATTGATCTATAGTGCCAATGCCCAGGTTCATCTTGAGCATCTCCGTGACGTACTAATGGTTCTACGTCGAGAGAAGTTTTATGCGGCCACAACCAAATGTGCATTCCTCACTCCATCCATCCAGTTCCTATGCTACGTGGTCTCGCGAGACGGCCTCAAAGTTGATCCTAGTAATGTTCGGGTTTTGGCGCAATGGCCACGCCCGTCATCGATCACGGAGGTCCGCAGTTTTCATGGTCTTGCCTCATTTTACCGGCGATTCATTCCTCATTTCAGCGGCATCATGGCTCCTTTGACGGATTGTATCCGCGGATCTAAGTTCTAGTGGACACCAGATGTCGAGGTTGCATTCCTTGAAATTAAGCAGCGACTAGTAGCCGCCCCTATTCTGGTTCTCCCGGATTTTGGACAACCCTTTCAGTTGCATTGCGACGCGTCTAAGACAGGGATTGGTGCAGTTCTTAGCCAAGCTGGTCGTCCCATAGCTTACTTCAGTGAAAAGTTGGCCGGCGCCAAGCTTCGTTTTAGCACGTACGATGTTGAGTTCTATGCGGTAGTTCATTTTATACACCGATCATGACTCCCTCAAGCACTTGGGCAATCAAGACAAGATATCTCATCGCCATGCTTCGTGGGTCTCATATTTACAACAGTTTACCTTCGTCATTAAACACAAGGCTGGGGTTTCGAACCGTGTCGCGGATGGGTTGAGCCGCCGTAGTGGCCTGCTGGCCGAGATGCACATGCAAGTCTCTTGCTTGGATTCCTTCCTGGACCTTTATGTGGATGATCCCTTTTTCCCAGATTTTGGATCTTATACAACAAGGGGATTCGACGGGTTTTGTATTGGAAGATGGTTTCCTCTTCCGAGGTGTCCAACTATGCATCCCGACTTGCAGCCTCCGTTTAAAAATGCTCCAGGAGGTTCACAACGAAGGTCATGTGGGTCAGGATCGTACCTTTCAACTCCTCTCCGCATCATATTTTTTGGTCGGTTCGTGGCCCGTTGTCGCGTCTGCCAGTTGGCGAAAAGGGCCGCCACTAATGTCGTGGTCCGACGTAAGTATGGATTTTGTTCTTGGCCTTCCCCACACCCAGCGTGGATCGGATTCTATCTTCGTCGTTGTTGATCGCTTTTCCAAGATGGTTCACTTCCTGCCGTGTAAAAAGACGTCGGATACTGTGGCGGTGGCCCACCTTTATTTTCGTGACATTTATCGCCAGCATGGACTCCCTGCTTCGATCGTTTCTGATCGTGATTCTCGGTTTGTTGGTCATTTTTGGCGGAGTTTGTGGCGTATGGTCAATACGCAATTGAACTTTAGCAGTGCCTACCATCCGCAAACTGATGGCCAGACCGAGGTTGTTAATCGCTCGTTGGGTAATCATTTGCGGAGTTTAGTTGGGGATCACCCCAAAGCTTGGGATCACAAGCTCCCGCAGGCTGAATTTGCGCATAATCGGGCAGTTAATCGCTCAACCGGCATGTCCCCTTTCCAGGTTGTCTACGGGCTCCTTCCTCGAGGGCCTCTCGATTTACTCAGTCTCCCCAGCAAGGTCTGTAACCATGCGACAGCTGCCGAATTTGTTGAACAGCTCTCCCACGTCCATCGTACCACCCATGCTCGGTTTGTGGCCTCTACAGCAGCCTACAAGGTTGTCGCTGACCGCCACCGGCGTGCGGTTGACTTCAAGGTGGGTGACTTCGTCTGGGCCATCCTCACCAAAGATTGGTTCCCTTCTCGTGACTATAGCAAGCTCGCCTCCAAGAAGCTTGTTCCGGTTGAGATCGTTGAGAAGATCAACCCCAATGCGTATCGTCTCCGCTAACCTGGTCATGTCCGCACTTCTGATGTGTTCAATGTGAAGCACCTCATTCCCTTTTCTAAAGAGTCATCGTCCGATGAAGACAATGGCGACACTGATTCGAGGGCGAATATTTTCGACCCAGGGGAGAACGATGGGGACGTCGAGGACGTCCATAATTGACACGGCAACCATGCAACGTACCAAGCTTGTTTTTTTTTTTTTTATTATTATTATGGACCATTACATAATTGTTGGCCTTTTTTCGGTACCTTTTTCTTTGTTTAAGTTGGACTTGGATTCTTGTTAGCCTTCTCTATAAAGGTTGTATGTCTTTGTGTTTGGAGTTAGTTTTTTCGGAATTGAAATAAAAGAAGAAAAGAGGAGCTTTCCTCGCAAATATCGTCTCTCGGGCATTCGTGGAATCAACGAGTTGCGATAGGCTCTACCCTTACCCACACACGCTGCATCACTCTTAAGCCAACCTCTTCACTTAAATTCATAGAAAAATGCTCAAATAGCAAAGTCGGGATCATCCCATAGGGAAGATTCATGTTTGAACTCTCTGCAACAACAAGCATGTGTTTAAAGATCAAATATGGCAAGTTAACCTTCTCATATGAAAGTAGGTTGGTGAGGAGCTCCATGTCAAAGTAGGTGACTTCCTGTCGATGTTCACCCTTTGGAAGAATTTTGTAGGAGAGCATATGGTGAAGAACTCTGGCTTCAACTGTCAGCTGGCGAATAGTTGGCCTACTGTGATCCTCCACATCTTCCTCTTCGGCAAGACCACATACAGTCTATATTTGCTTGGTTCTCAAGAAATTAGTTTCATTCAAGCATTGTAAGCATCGATTCTCTTCCCCAGGTTTGGAGTCTCCAGAACTGCTGCCAACACATTTATGGTGTTCCACATCTCTACCCCCATTCACATAGGATTTAAAAGAATGAATCAATCCATTTTCTGAATGCTGATAGACGATGTTGTTGTAAAAGTATTGTACCATTTTTGGGTAGTATGGTACATCGAGAGATATCACCTTCGGCCAATCTTACTCCACAAATGGTGCAAGGAACCCGTAATTCTTGAAACGAGCATACGCATCAGCCGTCAATGGCCTTTCAGGAGCCACCCTGCGGTTGTGCATTATGTTCTCTTCATATTTGTCACTTTGTATTTTGGTCTGAAACAGAGTTTGATTGAACTCTTCCCATTCAGAACTTGAGGCATCCGCTATGGATGACTTTCTTTTCTTCTTTCCTCTATCCGTCCTGAGATCAAAGAAAAGAGAGTTCACATTAGCCAAATGACGAAACCAAACAGACTCAGTCAACCTGTCTGGAAATAGGTCGACCTATACTATGCATGCAAAAGCTTAAAACCATCAATAAACTAGTAGACTTCACTAAAACCGACGAAACAAAACAAAATCGGTCGACCTCACTGGAAAGAGGTCGACCTTTTTTTGCAAACATGTAGAAGCTTAAAATCTCCAAGAATTTTGCATAAATCGACGAAACCAAACATCATCGGTCGACCTCAAACAAAATAGGTTGAGCTTATTTTGTAAACAGAAGCTTAAAATCGGAAAGACTTTTGCATAAATCTACGAAACCGAACGGAATCGGTCAACCTCAAACAAAATAGGTCGACCTATTTTTACAAGTAGAACCATATAGAATCGGGCGACTACCAGCCAACCAAACGACCACATGAATGATGTTGCAATGAAACGGGGTCGGTCAACCACGAACGAACAAGGTCGACCGATTCTGGCGAATAGTATACAAAAACATAACTTTCTATATTTAAAGCGATTGCTGAGAAACCAAACAGAGTCGGCCGACGGTGGATGAACGAGGCCGACCAATTCTGTCAAAAAAAACCTAATTGTTTACAGGTTTTGGGGGTTTAAAAATAATCTACTGTGAATGCAAATAGATCTAGTCGACCTAGTAGTGAAGCAGCAAACCGAATTTGTCGAACAACAGCCAAAATCAAGGTTTTACAGATTTGGGGGTTCATTCAAAACCAATCTTTTCTAACGACAACGAACAAAGACTAACCAAAATGACAAGAACATATGCGAAACATCCCTTATTCTTCTTATGAGCAGCTGTGAATGCAATAGATTGGAGGTTTTTGTGCTTCTTCTAGGTTTTTTTGTGATAGAAGAAGAAGAGAAAGGAGAGAAAAGAAGAAAGTGAGAAAGAGATGAAGATAGAAAAATGGGTGGTGGGGGCTGCTACAAAGTGGAGTAAAAGGGATAGGTTTTTAGGGTTGGACCGGATTTATTTTCCAATTTGGTATTGTCAGTCGAAGAGTTTCGCGGTCGACCACGTTCAAATAACGGTCGACCTCATTCTTTCTGGTTGACCTCTTCCTCCATCAGGTCGATCGTTCCTATGTTCTGGGAAATTTCAACAATTAAATAACACATACTTATATTTGAAGATAATTTAAAAATATATAAATGCAAAAATAAACAATACAATCTAAGTCCAAAAAAAAACTCCTAAAAAACAATACAAGAAATTTATGATTTTTCTGGGACTTTGTTTCAGACACGTAGGGAGAAAATTACCATATTTCCCACATTTCAAACACTTTCTTATGCTTTTGCCCGATGTATTTCGTTGCGACGAGAATGTTCCCTTGGTCTTCCCAATTTCTGGGTCTTTCACACTTAGAAGGGATGCTGGAGGATTTGCAGGTGCAGTGGTACCAATTCTATCCCTTGATAACTCAATTGCCCATTGAGTAAGGTTATCCAACTCCTGAGAGACATTATTAAAATCAGCTTCACTACCACACATGATGTCACACAAACGCTTACACTTCAGTGACAATCCCACATGTCTTATCAGTCGAACGACTTTCTCTATCACATCACCTCCAACTCCAGGATTACGAAATAATGTCTTTGCATTTTGGGTCCATCGAAGCTTGAACCACGTGGAGGGTAGTGCTGTAAAGCCCTCATTTTTTGTACGCTAAACATATGTATGCATGGAAACACCTTAGATTCAAACAATGCACAATCACATTTTGGATGTTGATTGGTCGCAGTAAATGATAACCTTCTTGTCCGATTCGGGACCATGATGTTCTTCAGAATGAATGTCTCTGTACCATCTACTTCAATTGGTGTCTCCGCTAGAAGCTTCGTTTTCTAGTTCATGCTTGAAGATGGCAAATGTACGATGTGTGTAGATACTTTTAGCTTGCGTTTCTCATGTGCGAAGGACATGCTTGCAGACCAATCTCATGTGCCTAGAAGAATAATCATTTTTCACCTCCGTGTAACGTATCCCCTCTAGTGCTTCACCAATGCCCTGAACAAAATGTTGCAAGTTGTATTAAGTTCCTACAAACACAAAGCAGGAAAGGTTGTGATTCAAGTTAAGAAGGATCACTCAGGTATGAGTCCCCCTAGATTGCAGTTAAGCCAAGTTGTAATTCAACTAAACCGAGTTGATAGATGTTTAGACTGCGGAAAGTTCTTAAATAGTATGAAGTCTCGACTAAGGTACTTTAGACCCTCTCAGTTAGAATACCCGGCGGGCGACTAACCTCCACCAGTGTAAGCTAACTGAGGCAATAAGATTAAAACTTCCTCTACTGGTTTCTAAACCAGTACAGAGCAGGAATCGACTTCCCGACTAAGGTCACCAATCCACTAGTTCCAATTCAAGGTGCTCTATTGCCCTATGCAGAGATTATCTTTCTAGGTCAAAGCAGGAATCACTAGAATGTGATCAAGACTCAAGTAATTCAGAGTAAGTACTTCAATTGGATAAAAATCAATCAATCATTCAAGGCAAAGGGTTCATACAACTCATCCTAACATACAATCTAGGGTTCTTACATACCCAAGTGATAGAGGGGGATTACTCCATAGAGAGAGAGTGGAAGCTAAGCCAGATGTGGAAATCATCGTGTCGAAGGAAGAAATTGGCACCGGGTCGTCAATCATCTCTCCTTTAGGCTTGAATCGAGCTCCAATGGTGTAGAACTTGATCTAGGGCTCTCAAGAGTCTCTCTTTGTCACTTTCTCTCTCTAAACCTCTGCGGGTTTTTTCAAAATCGAATGCCCCTCCAAAAACCCGAAAAATGCAGCTAAGAGCTGCAGCTCCCGAAACCCAGACCAAATACCCGGTCGGGTATTCACGAGGCCGGCCGGGTGTTTTGAAACAGCGTGCAACAGAGAAAGGGAAAACACCAGATCCAGGGATAAAATACCCGATCGGGTATTTATGCCTCTCGGTCGGGACCCCCTCGGGACCCCCTCTGCTTCTCCGGGTCTCCAAGCGGCTTTACCCGGTCGCTCAGCCATTTATACCCGGTCGGGTATTATAGTGACCTGACCAGGTATTTTGTCTGTTCAGCTCCTCCTCGCTGCCAACTCTCCATTTTCGACTTGAAACTCGCCTCCAAGCCTCTCTTTCAGCGCCAAGTCCTGAAATATGAAATAAACGCACAACCTAGCGTGAAATCGGCTTAAAACACGAGAATCGACTCTCAAACGGTTCAGTAAAGGTGGCCAACACATGTGCATATGACAGTCTATCACCTCTCTCAACACTTTCATAATTTCACCCTCATCGTGTTACTATTTCTCATCATGCGCCATCGTCTGATCAATTTAAATAAAAATTCAAATTAGAATTCAACTTCAAAATTGTACAAATGACCAACAACAGAAACTAGGTCGACCGGAAATAATATGTGATCAACCTTATATAACTAATTCCATAACTACCAGAACTATTTAGGTCAACCTATGACCTAAACCCGGTCGACCATAAGTGTAAGAGAGTTTTACAAGCAAAGCCAAAGTCGACATTCTAGACAAACAAGAAAAACTAACACAAATGGTCGTCCATGACAAAAATTAGGTCGGCCTATTGTATTTGATCTTCCTTACCTCGAAGGAATAAAAGTCGGAGTGTCGTGCCCTAAGTTCAATTGACGCAATTATTCCATAGAGGTCGACCTGATAGTGAGAGTGGTCGACTGAATCGTCTTATGCTAGCAAACAAAAACATCAAATTAAACAATGCAAATTAGAATAGAGCAAGAACAACATCGTACCCTAAATTAGGTTGACCACCTTGTATGTGGTCGACCGCCTGGAACCAGAACAGGAAGAACAAGCAGCAGTCTTCTTCTTCACCAAAACTCTAACCCTAGAAGAAACCAAATTAAGTGTTCGAGTGGCGATGAATGTGACATATATCCTTATTTATAGATATTTAGGACGATATTAGGGCGAATTAAGTGGTGGACAACTTATGGTTACCTCTCTAGTGTTGAATCCTTATTGAATACGGAGAGTGTGTAAGAGGTCGACCATGTACTTCTGAGATCGACTGTTTCTACTGTTTTCGGAAATAAGTTCAATTTTGATATTGATAATGTAATGCAATAGAAGTCGACCTTTTTATTAATGAGGTCGACCTTTTAATGCACACGGTCGGCCGTTTTAGCATACGAGGTTGACCTTTTATGTTGTTCACTTATCGAAGAGGTCGACCATTTGATGTACAAGGTCACCCACGTCGTTGACAGCCACAAAATGAAATCAGTAGATTCGGTCGACCATTCTCACTTTTGATTGACCAAAATGTATAAGTCACGTAGCAAAGTCCTAAATATAGTGCTTAGTATAAAATTCAAAAGATTAAATAAAATTCGTCTTAGTAAAATTCAACGAGAGCGTAAAAATTAACTTACTTTATAAAATATCTCTTAGGTAGTTCCTAGAATTGAGTAGTCTCACTATAATTGGTATGAGAGCCTTGTGAAGTAAAAATGTTTTTAAAAAAATGATTTTCTTATGTTTAAAATATGTTGTTAAAAAATAAAAGAAGAGAGACTATTTTTGAAATTTAAAAAACAAAATATTATGTCAACTCTAACAAAATGCAATTAATATAGAAATTAACTGGTTCCCGATACAAAAAAAAAAGTGAGTTCAATAATACGTGATATTCTTAATAAAGTTAAGTTGCCCGCCTTCACCAATTCGTAAAATTAAATGGCATCATAATTAGGAAAAAATCCCAAAATACTCTAATTATTAAAAAAAAATCCCAAAATACAGTACTTATAAAATTATTTCCCAAAATACAGTAGTTTGGTTATCACCGCTGCAAACCAAGACAGTGATGGTAATCACCGTTTTTGACCAAAACGGTGATAGCATCATCGCTTTGGACCAAAACAGTGATGCTATCACTGTCTTGGACAAAAGCAATGATGCTATCACCGTTTTTGACCAAAACGGTGATTGCATCACTGTCTTGGTTAAAAGCGATGATAGCATCATTGCTTTCTACCAAAACGGTGATGCAATCACCGTTTTGGTTTAAAACGGTGATACTCGACCTTATCATCGCTGATGTGTAAAGCGATGATATCATCGCCATGGACCAAAACGGTGATAATTGACACGTTTTAGCGCCCTGGTAGGTGGAAATTAGGTCACAGCTACCAAGCAATCACCGCTGAGGACAATGGCGGTGAACACATCACTGTTTTTGTCCAAAGCGGTGATTGCTAAAAAAAATTTCTATAAATACTGACCTCCACTTCCCCTATTGCTACCTTACAGAAAATTAGTACAAAAATTCGTATTTTATTAGTCGTTTTCTCAGCTGGTTTGGAGTTGGTTTACTGATCAAGAAACTCGTCGGGATTCGGTATGTTATGATTATGTAATGTTTACATGTTGATGTGTTAGTAATTTATATGTCTGTATTTAGTGAATTGCGGTTATTGAAAATATGTTATGATATATTTAGATTAATTATGATATGATAGATGTTAGTTAATTAGTTATGAATTTAGATGAATTTGTTTAGTTTTCTCATGATAGATCGGGAGTCGGTATGTTATAATTATGTATTGTTTACATGCTGATGTGTTAGTAATTATATGTCTGTATTTAGTGAATTGCGGTTATTTGAAAATATATTATGATATATTTGGATTAATTATCATATGATAGGTGTTAGTTAATTAGTTATGAATTTAGATGAATTTGTTTAGTTTTCTCATGATAGATCGGGCTTCGGTTTGTTATAATTATGTATTGTTTACATGTTGATGTGTTAGTAATTATATGTCTGTATTTAGTGAATTGCGGTTATTGGAAAATATATTATGATATATTTAGATTAATTATGATATGATAGATGTTAGTTAATTAGTTATGAATTTAGATGAATTTGTTTAGTTTTCTCATGATAGATCAATTACATGCGTTTGTTTATGGGTTTGGATGATATTGTTTTTGTATCCCTAATGTACTAATTATATACTATACTTAATTATTATAAATTGCAGACATGGTTAAATTTAAGAAGTTTCGGCTTATTATTCGGTGGAATGGTCGGGTGACAAACTCGAACATTGGCATCGACTATGAAAATGGCGAATCCACTATGCTAAAAATTGAGTCGAGATTCTCGTGGCAAGAACTCCATGACATTTGTGCAGAAAGGACTTTTACAGCGGGCAAACTTTACTCAAAACTCAACCGGACAATTTCCTCATAATTACTTTACCCACATCACAAGCCACAAACTTTACTCAAAACTCAACCGGACAATTTCCACCACAGGCTGAGGTGAGGGACAAAGAGAGGCCCCTCCTTCCCTCCTGTTTTTGTTCTCAAAAATATACTCTCAATTGGTACCTTCTCTCGACGCGACTTAATGAGGGAAGCTTCCATTAGCGGCCGATTTTATTATTGTTATTACTTTGTGGTTTATGATTTGATTACTTCAACTTAGTTAAAACGTGTGATTGGTGGAGAGCATGTGGGGAATCATTGAGTTGAGAGAGCCTCAGCCACAATGTTTGTTTACGGTTGTAATTTGGTTGTGTTTTCAATTTTGTATAACAAAAACGTAATAATAATATATAAAAACTGTTGATTATTTATTTATGGTTGGTTTATCCTCCTCCTGTCCTGTCCTGGCCCCCAATTGTTTTGTAGCCGCTAATCTGATTCCATCTATTGGTTTTGCTTCGTACAGCAATACTATTATTACTGTTACCATTAATTATCCAACTATCCAAGGGGTTAGGTCCAGGGGGCTGAACAACAGAGAGAAATAGAGTCGTATTTAGAAATAGATTTAATCACGTCGTATTCAGTAATTACATACATCCCCTTCAATATATCATGTCTAAGTAGTCTTTTATAGATTGCTCAATTTCTCATGTAGTTAAGAGTTGAAAACTACTCATAGCTAAAATAAGGGTCAACATCACAAGCAAATAAACGAACATATGAAGATTAAAGCAATGAAATTGATCTCCAAGAAATTTAAACTTCAATATTATAATTATTGGATTGAAAGTTGTTTGAGCTTTAGTTAAGGACTGAATTTTGTATATCTAAAAGAATGAGAATTTTTTTTAGATTGGCGAGTAGAGAATTCAGGATCTTCAATGCTAGGTTTCGGTTTGATTATACTGAATGGCTATTCGTCGCTATAAAATTCAATTTTATCTCCCTAAAACATAACAAATTGACATATTCACCCCTCAACCAACTTCAATTTTAAACCCTAACTAGAAGTTGTTGCCTGCTCTACTCCGGCCTCCCCTGCTTCGTCGCTTCCCTTGCTCACCCCCAACCTGAGCAGCTCCCCGCCGACAGAACAAAAAAGACGACGCTGTGGGGAAGACGACTCATCCCCAACCCGAGCAGCTCGGCATCGACAAAACAAAAAAAAAGGCGTTGTGGGGAAGACGGGCAGAGGGGCTACTCGTCACTCTCCCTCGTACATCCGCTGCCGGCAGAAGGGTTTAGGGGTGTTTTATCAAAGATGATCCCACTGGGAATTAATTGGAGAGTAAGGGGATTCTTGGAATTAATTGGACCAGGGACAGGAGAAATAAAACAGGAGGTCGTTAGTGTTTTTGTTTCCAGTGGAATTGAGGGGGAGCGTTGATGATATCTTTGGCTGAGAAAGAATGAGTTTTTTTAGCAATAGAAAATTTGGATTTTCTGATAACTAACCACCCGGCACCCGCAACGATTTGATAGAGTTTGAGGAGAGTTGAAATCAATTTGGATATGCAAAACTTGGATTTAACTCAAGCTCCACCACCATTGGTATGGACTGCAAATCGCACAGCGGAGGCCGACAACTAGGGGTGTGCAATGGTCCGGTTCGTACCGGACCAAACCAAAGTTTGGAGTGGACTGTACCGGACCTCATTATACTCGGTCCGGTTATTGGTCCCAATGAATTTTACTATTACTGAAGAAATGATGGATCGAGCTAATTTTTGGACCGGTCCGAGCCGGACCAAATGGACCGAATGCAATGATGGTCTGGTCCTTGGTCCTTAGATGTCTTGAACTAATGGACCGCGGTTCTCATGAGTTTGGTCTGGTCCGGTCCGGCGGTTCTCATGAGTTTGGTCCGGACCGTTGCACACTCCTACCGACAACGAGTCGATGACAATTATTTTCCCCGATAATTTATAAATTTATTTTGAATTTAAGTGTTTAAACAACAAATAAATGAACTAAGGATATTAGAGTAAAATTAATTTAATTAGGGCGATGAATAAGAAATTTTAGAGCGACGAATAGCAACCCCTTGATTATATCAATCAACTTATATCATAACTAGCTATGTTCCCGGTCATTGTCCGGGTTATTTTTATAATTATTAATCATTCAAAATATAATTAAAATAATTTTTGGGTTGTTAATCATTTGGATTGATCCAATTTATTTTTAATCATAAAATTTATGTTTATATCATAAGATCCACTCTAAATTATCTAATTTATGATTCACCGAATTTACAGATGAAGTGACAAGATAAAATAAATTAACATATTAAATATTTTTGATGACATGATAGTCTCAATCTTTTTATAATAATTTATATAATTGATTTATTTTATCTTATTATTATATCAAAGCCTAATAGGTTGTACATTTGAATCCTAGTAACGCTTACTTATATGTGCATTTATGTTTAATAAGTATTGGGTTTAAAAATTGAAATATTAAAAGTGAGGAGGAAAATGAAGGCTGAAAATTTAAAAATTGTGAAGCCTAATTTGAGAAAGTGTACAATATATTGTAATAATTTTGCATGAGTTGATGATTTGGATTGGTGCAATTTATTTGTAATCGTAAAATTTATGTTTATATAATAAGATCTTCTCTAAATTCATTTAAATGTTGAATCATGATCGATTTTACTTATAAAATGAAAAGATTATTAAAAATATATAAGTAACGTATTAAAAGTGTTTGATAAGATGGTAGTCACATTTTTTGTTATAGTAATTAATATGATGGACGCAGTTTATCTGGTTAGCAAATATTAAAAGAGCACTTATTGCAATGAACAACATAAAGATACGCTTCAAAATAAGATTAGTGATTGATCGTGAATAATTTTTTGTGTTGGTACCTCAAGAATTATATCTCTCATAATTTGCATTGTATTTTAGAAAAAAATTCGAATATAAAAACATGTTTATGGTCTGGTCTATGGTCTCTGTTCTAGAGATCACCACTATTGATCCTATATTCCATATATGATATATTCCATAAAATTTACAAAGGCAACGTTGGGACTATATAGTTTATGGTCTTTGTTCTACCCACTTGGTGTAGACTGCAAACCGTATATATGGTATGGTCTAGACCAAACCACTGACAACACCATTTTCCAACCCTAGTCGGGCCACACAATCAAATCAACCAGCCCGCCCCCGCCCCGACATATATTTTATTCCTAAAGCAAAAAACTATTCCACAAAAACCCTAAATTTCTAGCTACCCCATTAACTTGTATTAGGGCTGGTAAGTAGTTATTCGATTAACGGTTTAATCGAATATCGAATCGGTAATCGGCAGTAGGCGATAGCCAACACACCCTAAACAGTAAATCAACTGCTTTCTACTTAATTACTGATGGTTATCTAGTTTACCAGATAACTGAAAACCAAGTCTCTCATATACGAAACCTCGACCTCCACTTAGTCGTCGCGACCAAATCCAATCTTCAACCATCTCTTTGACTACTCTACGCCGCTCACCTTCTGTCTCACCTCCCCTGCCTCTAGTCCTAGGAATCTCATCTCTCCCTCAAGCTTGATTCTTCTTCTTCTGGAGCATCATGTCAAAAGAAATCCCCAACTTTTGAATTTCCTCGGCAGAAGGGAACCAATTACCCAAAGATGAGCTCGAAAAAATCATTAAAACATAGCACAAATGAGCATAACATATCACAATTTCCATATGAGATTTTCTCCGAATCCTACCCATCGTTCCACTCTTCAATGGCTTCCTTTATCCTAACTCGGTCAGCGGTGATGACAATAGAAGCAGTTAATCCCCCACTGGATGGGACAGAAAAAATTAAGAGAAAGCACCAACGAAAGTGGTGTGAGCGAAGGAGGCGGGGTGGGATGGAAGAACGGATATGTTTGGTGTCTAATGGTTTGTGAGATTGAGAATTGGTAGGGACTCGAATTAAAGTGGAGTAGTAGCACAAGAGCTAATTAGAAAAGTTATCGAATAGCTAATCGGTTAGTCGGTATACCGACAGCCACCTGGTAACGGTAGTTGGTGACTACTTGTAGCTAATTAGTAATACACTAATACTAATAACCCATCGATTACTTCCCCTAATTTGTACTTTGTAGTTCTGAAATGATGTTGTGGACCAAGCAAGGAGAAAGAAAAAAAAAGACAAAGGAAAAGGAAAAGAAAGGTGGAGAGATCACCACCATTCATCCTATGTAGTATATTCAAAATATACCCTAAGATTTACAAGGCAACGCCGGACCACACAATCAAATTAACCCACGCCGGCCCCAACAGATATTTTTTATTCCTAAACCACAGAAACCCGTAGATATATTCTTCCCCACGTCCCTTCGCTTCATTTGATGTTGACCTTGTTCAGGTCTCAACCATGAACTGAACCCCCAACGCAAAGATCTCATCTCGGCCCACATGTCCCAACCCCCTCTGTTATTCGGTTCCACACTTACACGCTTTTCTTTCTTCTTTATTCCCAATTAACCCCCATAGCCCTCCATAATTTAATTGGGCTGGTACATAAAAGTCGATAAGAGATCGGTACGTTTCACAATCTTGTCATGGGATAATTAATTAACTATTTGAGAAAATTTGTGATTAACTTGTTCATGCATGCTCAGTCGTTATTGAATTGTTCCTTCACATTTGTACTAGTTTTTTACCGGTCAGTTGGCCGGAGAAGTTTATTTTATTATTTATATTAGTTAAGTTTTCTACATGTTTGAATTTTCTCTGATCATAAATCATGTCGTAAAGGTTTATCACATCCCATTTAGGATCGTATATAAATTTTTTTCCATCAAGATGCTCAAATTTATTATCTTATACAACATATATCAATTCATGATTCTCGAGTTTGTACGAACTCTCAGCCAATTAATCAAAGTTCAAATTATTGGAAAAAGATACTTGATTACTGAATAAATTATGTTTATCCAATTGAAATTTGACACACATCGTATCCCTTATAATGATTAAATTCTTTAAACCTCACTCATTTTTATTGTTGATGTTCATGAAGTCTTTGTATAACAACTTATTATAATTGCTAATATTTTAAGTTTGTACTATCCCTCAACCATGCCTTTAGTCTAGATGTTCGTTTAAAATCTGAATCCAAGGATTCATATACACTATCAAAGGTTCTCATCTTAACATGTTCCTTCAATATATAAATTTTCAACTATTTGAATGTCCATTCGCTAAAATTTCTTTATATTTGGTGTTTGTTCTAGAACAAAAATTTCATTACTTATATTAATAATTGGTAAAGTGTGTATACGACAGACAAATATTTCAGGTGCATTCAAAATTATGTATTCCTTGAATAATTAACTTATAATTTTTTAACAAAATATTTTGTAGCAAAATTTAAAAGTTCATACAAACATTGTGGCTTTTCACATGTATTTAAATTATTGGATGTATTGTCGACACATCTATTGTTAATATCTAAACATATATATATATATATATATATATATATATATATATATATATATATAGAGAGAGAGAGAGAGAGAGAGAGAGTTTATTTTACTTTCAACACTAATTGATACCTTTGAACTCAGCTCCTTGGGTGGAATATGATATCAATATTTTTTGTTATTGCCAAAATTTGGTATGAAATCACAAACTCACAACTATATAGACTTGTTACAATTTTCTTACTAAACTCATATTTATTAAGTGTTCTTCTGTTGACCCAATAGCTTGGTTTACACTATTGTAACTATAAATGTTTTTTGTTATATATGTGAAGTAAAACATTAATGTTTATTTATTACCTCAATCTTCATATTTAGATTTTTCTTAGCATGAAATGTGATATTTAACGTACATCCTTAACAAAGATTTCTCTAAATTTCACACATTTCATTTTTCAAGTGGTCTAGTGTCTCAGTCAAAGTTCATCAACTATTATACTCTAAGTCATTTTGGAAACTTCAATTTATAATCTTTAACAATAAATAACTCCAAGTCTGAAAAGAAAATTTCTTAGCATATGATGTAAGACCTCAATAGAGGTTTGCTCAATCAACATGACTTAGAGAAAATATTAGTAATGTGAACTTAGGATATATTATAAATACTGCACATGCGATTCATAAGTTTTCACTTGATCAGAATGAATAAGAAGCTTTTTTAATAAATAACTATTATTTCTTGGTCAAGTTTCTTTCAGACATTATCGCCAAAGTATTTTTTTTTTGTGTTTGTTTAAATTATTAATTAAAATGTAATTATTATTAAGTTTTAGTAAAAATGAGCAGAATTTACATAGTAATCTTTAATCATATATTTTTTGGTTTAAAAAGTGTGATATTTATGTCACTCCACGAACATTAGTATACTGTTGCGTACATCGATATAATGCAAAACCAAATGTGATATATGTCACTCTCCATCAAGATTGTCACGTCGGTCGGCATGCCATCGGTTGAACCATTCAACCGGTACCGGTCATGAAATCGACATGACACCATCGGTATGACCGGTATGATCATTTTACAAATTTATAAGAAAAATACATCGTTTTAGTGAATTTAAGTATGAGTACATGTAATTTTATTTGAAATATCATATTTTATTCAAATATCAATATGAATTGTACGTAAATTATCTTCAAATATGGTTTATATATGATTAAATTCATTTGATATTAATGATTTTTTTATATTTCTACATATTTTATTAACCGGCATGAAACGACACAAACCGGTTGTACCACTGGTAAAACCATTACACTTGCTAAACCGGTTTGATAACCTTTCTCTCCATATATTATTTATAGATATAATGCAAAAACAAAAGCAAAATAATTATTGGATAAAAGAGAATTAAATATTAAATGAAGAGAGAGGGACAACTTCATAAATAGGTCAATAACTATTTTTTTGGTAAAAAAATTGTCCACCTTGGCAACTTGAGATCTATCCAAGTGCTTATGTGGCAAAAATTTAATTTTGAATTGCTATAATATTATAGATAGATAGATGTTCGGTGTATTACAATTCAAGTACCACATATATAGAGAACAAGTGAACATTCTCAGGTACATAAGTTGTCCGCCTAATATTGTTATTACGATATTTTTAAAGGAAGTATAAAAAACATAAACAAATTTGTTTAAACTTGCTCAAAATAGGTAAATATCATCTTTATATAAAATCCCCTAAAATAACTAAAATCGTGTGGGCTAGGGATGGCAATGGGTCGGGTCGGGGCGGATAGAGCATATCTGTTACCTTAGCCAAAATAGTTCTGGTTTTACCCATACTCATACCCACATAAGAAATGGGTAGAAAATAAAGTCATGCCCATACCCACTCGGGTTTCGGCTATCCACGGTTATCCATAGATAATAATTTCCCCTTATAACTTCAACCATTATACTAACATTAACACGTATTTTCACATTACATAAGAGGAAACGTACGACAATAATTCACTAGAATGAATAAAATTAATTAAAACAACACAATTTCATGATATACTATATTTATATGCTTATTACAAAATATGTTAGAAAAAAATAATGATTATTTCAAGACAAAATACATATGCATGTGTATAATCGGGCGGGTTCGGGTTGGATAGTGAGAAAACCATGCCCACCCATTACCCGTAATTTTTTGTTTCGGATTTTACCTGCATCCATTAAAAGTCCTTCGGGTTCGGGATTTACCCTACCCAACTAAGTCGGATTCGTGCGGATATCCTCGATTACGGATATTTTTGCCATCCTATTTGAGACAATCCAAAAATGTCGACAATTTGATGACATTTGAAAATTGTTATTTTTTTCTTATCTCGTTCGAAGCTAAATTCATTCTCAATTGATTTGTTTTTAAGCATTTTATGATAAAATGTTAATTACTTGTTCAAAGTGTGATTTTTAGACCTTATGTGTGTTTTATACAGTTTTATGCCCTTTTGGGTAGTTGTTCACAATTTCATAAACATGCTCACATAGCACAACATTCTGGATTGCATTGAACACGAGGGAACCAAAACCAGAAACCCAATCCGTCATTCACCAAACAAACCAAATTTCACATGGAGTCTTAAGAAGAAAAAAGATAATTTGTGCCAATTTTCTTCTCAATAGGATCAGGGAAAAAAAAGCCTTGTGGTGGTCCAACCCGCCGTTGCAATGACCGTCGGTACCCTAAAAGCTTCCAGCGATGGAGTGCATGCCAAGATAGAGTCCTAAACCGAGTTAGAATAGGATCTAGATTTTCATAACCACCTTAGGCACTGAAGCTAGTGGGAAACTATAAATAAGAATGTTATCGATGATATTCTCAATAGTGACACTCCATTCCTCTATGTCGAGCTAAACACTCTTGTTATTTAGAAAGTTGGCTCGACTCTAACTACACATCCCAATCGATGGTCCAACATAACCAATGACCGGGTGTAGCATAGGGTAAGCAAGAATAAAAATTATTCAACCACGGGTCTCCTCCATGTACCTTACTCCGGGTTTAACTTTCGTTATCTAGCCAAGTTAGAATAGTGATTAGGAAAACTAAATTAACTAACCTTGCTAACTACAAGTGGTGGAGGTCACTTAGCTAGAATCTCCCTAGTTTTATCATTTGGACCGATGTTGCGCACTATCCTAGCTCGATCGACTCACTATCCTATCGTTAAGAGATAGATTCACTCAAGATTGACCCGGAATGGCAAAGTGATGGATGGGTAGGTGCTCTATTCAACCTAGGGTTTCATGTGTAATCAAGAGATCAAGTTTATCAACTCCCATGGGGATTTCCCGGAACGAGATAAGATAGGTGTGACCCGAAGACGCTATTAATGGGCTCTAAGGGGTTATCTCCCTCCAAGGTCAAAATCTCAATTAACATGAAGTGGAAACCAAACTCATGTAATCCATGTAAACCATCCATAAACTAGATAAATTCATCAATCAAGCATGAAACCAAAATTTACACCTAGGATCCATCAACCTAAGAGAAGAGATCTAGCTCATAGAGAAGAGAGAGATTATAACACAAAGCACAAATTCTTCCATCTTCATCTTCTAGGGGTTGATCTCCGAGTTTCAATGGTGGGTGACTTCTCCACGCAAGCTCTAAGGACCCTCTAGATCTCTCCCTCTCTCTAGAATCCCTCTTTGGTCTTTTTTGTGTCGAAACACTATGGGAAAACCTGAAAAGTCTAAACCCAACCAAGCTCTATTTTCTCTCTCCCAACCGTCTTCTATTTATACTGCCTGAGTGCCAGCATCACGGGCTGAATATCACGGCCATGACATCGACAATCCGCCCATGATTTCGATCGAAGGTGCATCCTATTGTTGTCGTTTTAGTCCATCTTCATAGTCAGCTTGAAAAGATCATGGTCTGCTGACCGAGACAAATGACCTACCTACGAGGCGAGCAAAACCTCAGGGTCCTAAGCAATCTTCACGGTCACCGATCAATCTTCACGGGCTGGGGACCGTTACAAAATCTCTCTACCCGTGATCTCACACTTTCTTCTTACTTTGGCGCTTTTCGACCTCCAATTGTTTCGAAACTCGCCATCGACCTTCCCTCACGTACTAGGAACTTAAATATAAACAAAATGGCACAATCTAGAGTAAAATAGGTTGAGAGATGATGGATTCCAAGTCAAATATTCCAGATATAAGGGGTGAAAGCATTTGTATTTATGCCCGATTTATAAAGTTTCACTTTTTTAAAAACAGAAGTTTTTCGTAACTTAAAAGCAGAAGCTCTGATTTGAAAATACAAAATTGTACTACCATATATTATTCTTTTTCTAGAAAACATAATTTTCTTTCATTTATATCATTATAAAAAGATAAATTGAAAAATAGTATTATTTATATGAAATAATTATAATGTGATCCATTTTTAATACTTTTTTACTTTTAGAATTTGTATTCATATTTTATGTTAGAAATCTTTTTTAGTCATTTTTCATTACCGCTTATGTTCGAAAGTAATTCTGATAGTTTTTCAGCTAAACACTCAACAGTTTTTTTTTAAATACTTCTCGAAAAGATCCAGAGAAGCTGCTTCATTCTGCAAAAATTACAGCAGGATCAATTCTTAGTCATACAAATTGAAGCATCATGAAAGAAGTTTAAACATAAATAATATATTTGACGACCCTTCTACCTTATGCAAGTTCATCAACCATGTGCTATTGTAAATAACAAACCTATGAAAAGAATGATTAAGAGTGAAATAAGATTATTTTCACTTTTGTGTCAACATTAAAACTATTATTTTGAAATATTTATTTTTCTAATACGCGAAACGATGAGCTTTGCTAGTAAAGAATAGGGTAAATACAATTTAATATCCAAACCTTTCATTTTAAACAATATAATAGCCAAACCTTTTCGAAAACAATCTAATATCCAAATCGTCAACTTTCCGTTCGTTTGACCGTTAGTTGACACTTCAAAAAATTTCGAAATACGACGCTTCATCAATATCCATCGATATCTTCTCTGAAAAACCACCAACATATCGTGGTTCCAAACCCGAGAAGTCCATGACTCCACCATGATGGTATAGAATATCTAAATATTCAGTCATCTGCAATGCCAAAACAAGAAAACAAAGTTGTATTGTGACAATTTCCCCTAAACAAAACGTTTTTGAAGTGTCAACCAACGGTCAAACGGACGGAAAGTTGACAATTTGGATATTAGATTGTTTTCGAAAAGGTTTGGCTATTATATTGTTTAAAATGAAAGGTTTGGATATTAAATTGTATGTACCCTAAAAGAATAATAGACAACTTGGGTTGGGAGTGGATCAAATCATATGCCATGGTTGCCAATTTTGACCGTGCATGCATGAACCAACCACCATGAGGAAAAAAACAAAAAAGTGACACGACGCAATCTCACCCACAAACCCATCACCTTCTCCAATACTAACCAAATGAAATTGGGTGGCCCGGGTTACAGCTTCTGGTTAGAAAGTGGTTTCATTTCTGAAATCGTGGCCACCTGCCCCTGGCCAGTAAAATTGTAAGGCCGAAATGGCAGCCACATGATAAATGAAACCTCTCAATGTGATATTTTCCACAATCAATACTCTGCCCACAGGTCCTTTCACAGACAAAACAATGGTACATTCATTATAATATCCAACAAAAACTTTTCTCTTTTCCTGACTCGGCTCTTTTTTTTTTCTTTTCCAGGAATTATGCAGCTACAGCTATCTTTTAGTTTTTCTTCTTTTCTATGTTCGGGGACACTCTGTAAGTCTGTTCGCCATCCACCATGAAAGCAGAGTTGATGTTCAAATGGTTGGTTGGTGTTTAAAGTTTCACAAAACTGGTACCTTAGCTAGCCACAGTACTATGACCTCTACACCACAAGTCTAACCTGCTACTTCAACCTAAGTAATAACCATAACTCCTGATGCTTGTGTATTGTTGTAGAGATCGTTTATTTGGATGTGTGTTTTTGGTTCGTTTGATTTTGGTGATTGTTTGGTTGAGATAGTTACAATGCATGCATTGTTTTTTGAATTTTCTCCACAAACTATACATGCATTGTTTGTCTGATGTGACGGAAACTATCACTCAAAATGAGTGATAGTAATATCTCAAGTTTTTTATGAGATTGTTGAGATTGTTTGTTTGAGATTGTTGGAGTGTTTTCTTCTCTCAACTATGCCCCTACACATTTTGATGTGTTTTGCTTTTTTATATTAAAAACAAACGGTAAAAGTGACATTTCACCTAGAAAGCAATATATTATTTAAATACTAGAATAACTATCACAGAAACCAAACTATGTAAACTATAATACATCAATTTTCTTATATGCGTATATATTATTATGCATGCATTGAAAACAATGTATGAAATTAACAAATTCATTCATTTTTTTGCCCGGGATGAGGAACTACATAACCCACAGAAAAGTCTAACTCCACGTCTAGAAATTATAAGCTATTAGGATTCACGAAAAGGGAGAATTGCCATGAGCAATACACCTGCTCATGATCTAGCCAGGTTTCTTATTAAAACTATAATCTGTGAAAGGATACCTCAAACTAATGACTTAATCGGCTTTTATATCTAAATTGTAGTCTATGAAGGATATACCTTAAACTAGTCAGAGGATGTTAAAATGATAATTATTATGGCGGATAAAAGAGCAAAACAACAAGACAATTGAAAAGATTTGCTAATTAGAATCTCCGGCAATTTCTACAATATTGAAGGTGAAGTGATTATCTACCAAATTCACCAACATTTGGTGCATTTGAGGGGACTTGGTAGTTGATGACAGTCATCAAATAATTTCTATCGATAGTGATGTCAAGTTTAGCGCGGCAACCAGGGCCACTAATTGGGTTCCCCACACAAAACCTCTTCTTTGTCAAGTCTATAGTTTGATGGAATGGTCTTCTTTCTCTGTCTTACTATGAAATCGACATCCCTTAATTTCACTTGCTTAGTTTCACAATTGGCCATAACAGTAATATTACGTCAGAGCTGTCCGCATTTTTTTAGATATAAAGAAGACGGAGGAGAAACAAAAGGGCAAGCAAGAGATCGGAATCGGGAGTTCTCACTGACAAGTAACATCATCCATTTTTCCTACTCGAATTCCATTCCATTACTGACACGGTTTCACGCCAGTTTTTACACACGCCAAACGAACCCAAGATTATCTAAAAGCTATAATAATAATAATATAATAAAATATACACCTCTATGGCTCTATCTCTCTGTCTCACCTGATTGCAATTATAATTATCATCTCGGGAATGGGGTGGGGTTAATACAAACATGAAACTAATCAATGATTTAAATATTAATTAATCAATTAATTTTCTTGTTAGGATTTCGGAGACGCCATCGGTGCCTTCCAACCAACCAACTCCCGGAGCCAAAGAAATTTAATTAAGGGCCCACACAACATCTACTCCCTCTCTTTCAGATCGTACGGCTGATATTTACTGATGAAACTTCATCTTCTTCTTCGTCAACGGCCACCGCCTCCGCATCGCAAAATCTCACACGATTTTGACTGACAGCGGGATGCAGGTTCACCAAGCGCTCCTCAATGGCCGCGGATCTTGTGCCGGAGCAGCAGTGTACGGCCGATCCCATTATTCTCCGGTTCTTCAAAGGCCTCACCGACTCATCCAGGGGACTCGACTCGCTTGAGTGAGACCGAGTCGGAAACTGACAGTACTTCCGCCGATCAGATCGCCGGCCGATATCATCCTGCGATTTTTATTTTGGAATGAGAATCTGAACGGAGAACGTACGGGAAAAAAGACCGAGAAAGAGGGGGGAAATGGAAGATTTCTAGAGAATGAATAAATTATTAGAAGTTCAAAACACACCTCGAGCAAGCAAATCAGATCCCTGGTTCGTTTGATCGGAACCGCGGTTTTAGATTCGACGTACTCTCCGCCGCCGTCACTCTCTGACGAAGAAGACGACGAGGAGCTCGGCGGCGGCGGCGTTGTGGCTGAGGCTGACCATGGAACAACCTGATTATCGGCATCCTCATCTTCCTCATCCAGCTCGGATTCCTCGCTCCCACTCTCTTCCTCGTGAGTATCACCGTTAGCGCACCGCAAGCAGAAGGAGACGGTATGGCCGAGCTGCGCACCAGCGGCCTGCCATGGCGTCAGCGACTGGCAGAGGTGGCAGAGCAGGGCGCGGGAGTGGCGAGCGACGAGGAAGTTAGCTCCGTGGACCTTGGCGTCGCAGGACCAGCAGAGGCTGGCCTGATCTGACTCGCAGAAGGTCTTGGCTACTGATTTGCAGAGCTCGCACCTCTTCATTTGTTTTAGCTCTTCTTCTCCTCTGATTCACCGCGATCTTATGATCTTCTACGACTCCGTGATTCCGGCGAGCCTGATGAGAGAGAGAGAGAGATTTTCGCGTTTCTTGGCTGTAAATAATATTTTCCTGGTGAGGAGAATAAATGGAGGAGAGGAGATGGGAAGAATGAAATTTAAATAAAAATGAGATGGGAGCTGGGCAAGGTGAGGGGAGTAATTGGAACAGGCTTGGTTTTTGGTTGATATTACAGAATTGCCATCCAGGGCTGAGGTCAACAAGTGTTACGAATATCGTCCGTTGGCTGGTGTCCCCAGCGGGAGGATTTTGATTTTGTTGTGGCTTAAAATGAAGATAAAGATTCTGTTACGCCCATGGCCATGAGATTGACGGGATATATTATAATTATACAATAAATTAGTATTTTCCAACGACCCATTCTTAATTCAAAATTGCCAGCTAAACATATAATTAACTTGGAGTCTTTTAAGAAGAGTTGTACCTGCCTAATAAATATCTCTCATTTAAAATGATTATTTTACTCTCATCTCTTACTTGGGATTAAAGATTTTGTTGTTCAAAAGGTTTAAGATAAAAATAATAATTAATTAATTAATGCCACTTGAGAGGCCATTTTATCCGATATCTTCCATTTAGTATGAGAAAAACGAATTTCATAGGAAAATCTTCCATCTTAGTAGATTTTCAACGGTCATTGAGAAAGAGTTTATGAAGTAATACGTTCGATAGCATTTGACAGAAAATTATTTAATACTCGACTTCATTACAGAGGTGTGAGGTCGAAAATCAGTACCGTATTGTTCATTAATGTTATAGAGAACGATGAGACACGTATCACAGACAAAAGCTTACTCACGTATATCTTACTTATCATTTGGTACCAAATGAATCGAGAATTCATTTCATTGTAAAATGAATTATCATTAAGAATTCATTGTCAAATGTAATCTTATATTTGGTATGTTATATTCAAATCTTTAGAAATAAAATGAAGTGTCATGTAGAATTCATTGTCAAATGAATTCTTGTGTTTGGTATGTCATTTGTACAAGTAATTTAGTTATTAAAAGAGGATAATCATGTCATTCTATTATAATTAGTAAATACTTGTGGAATTCATTTGGAAATTCTATCTCAATTCCTCGGAATTGCTATAACTAGTTCCAATTCCGTAGAATTCAAAATTTAGATTTGAAAATTAATTCTTTTTAATACCAACCACGAAAATATTTCATTTCAAAATGAATTCCTCAAAACTTATGGAATTCATTTATACCAAACGGTACGTTAGAAAAAAATTGCAAAATTTTATTGTGGTGCGGAATGCCTCCGGGTGAAAATTCAAATATGTTAATTAATGGAACACATGGAATGGAAAATAAGGTCATTATGCATGTATTGTTTACAATGCATTGTTTTTTGTTTTTTTTTAACAGAAACAATATATGGATTGTTTCTGTGATGTGACAGAAACTATCACTCATTTTGAGTGATTGTTATATCTCAACTTTTAGTTGTGATTGTTGAGATAGTTGAGTTGAGATTGTTTTGTCTCAGATTTTAGCTTATGCGACATACACAATCACACATACCAAACGGTGTATTCTACAATGCATCAAATTCGACAATACATGTATAATATTATACATGCATTCTCAACAATAAATCTATTTAACAATCGCAACTTCCAAACGACCCCGAAGTGTCATGTAGAATTTATTGTCTAATGAATTCTTGTGTTTGGTATATCATATGTATAAGTAATTTAATTAATAAAAAAGGATAATCATGCAATTCTATTATAATCAAGAATACATCTATTTAACAATCGCAACTTCCAAACGACCCTGAAGTGTCATGTAGAATTTATTGTCAAATGAATTCTTGTGTTTGGTATGTCATATGTACAAGTAATTTAATTAATAAACAAAGATAATCATATAATTCTATTATAATCAGTAAATACTTGTGGAATTCATTTGAAATTCAAATATATATTAATTAATGGAACACATGGAATGGAAAATAAGGGCAGCTCGCAAATATTTGAATCCTGTGAACCTATCAAGTCCACACGATTTTTTTCTTCTTCCTTTGTTATATCATATTCATATGGTGTTGAAACAAAAGAATAGTGATTAATTAAGAAAAGAAAGAAAGAAAGAAAGTAGAAGGAGGGAGAATGGGTCTCGAAGAATGGAAGAAAGAAAGGGTGTGGTTGAAAGTGGCGGAGTAGACAGCGGTTTGGGAAGTGAGGGAAAGGAGGGATAGAAATGGTCAAAAGCGGCTTTACTATTACGAGAATATGAGAGAAACGAGTGGTTCAGCAATCAGCAGAGTGGAGAGGAAAAAAAAGAAGGAAAGCTACGGGGTCGGGTGTGTAATACTGTAATTGTACAGTAGAGTAACAGCATCCCTTCCTTTCCTTGGGTTCGTTTTGTCGTTGTGGGGGCGGCGAAAACCAAAGCCATTCGCCCAGCCACAGCAAGCGAAAGAGAGAGGGCAGAGTCGGTGGGGACCAAGTTGTGGTAAGCAGTATGCCATGTGTCATCTTCTCCTTCATCTTCACGCTCCCACCACTCATCACTTCCTTGCCTGATATTTTTCATCGTTTGGTTTGGTTTAGATAATAGTTAAATTGAGATTCATTGCCATCTATAAATGTAGGAGTGTTCAAGTGATATGGTACTACGGATGGCAATGGGTCGGGTTGGGGCGGGTTTTGTCAAATTCAAATCTATGGATTTATCCGCCAAAAATTCTCGGGGTAAAATTCACTGGGTTTGAGTTTCTCAAACCCAACCCGCTAGGTATCCGCCGGTTCATGGGTACCCGTGGGTTTTTGTGGTAAAAAATTTACCCATTTTACGCTTTTAGGTAGAATCGCGCTTTTGACTGCATTGGCAGGGGCGGAGCCAGAATTTCAAGATCGGGTGGGCCGAAAATAATTAAATATAAATAAAACTAAAATAATTATTTTAAAAGTACACAACATTCTTTGAGATAATTGTTCAAAATAGTTCTAAACTAAAAAATTTAGCTATCTTTCATTTAATATAAATAACTAAATCATTAACAAGAAACTCATCATTTTAATTCCTTTCACAATCATATTTAATCCTGGATCATATAGTTTCTATAAAGGAGAATGATAAGAATTTTAATTAGAAAAATCACCAAGTGAAAACTAAATAGAGGTTGACTTTTTCATATGAAGTTGGATTAAAGTAATAAAAGAAAAAAAAAAGAGTGGCTAAAGCAAAATGTGAGGTAGTTGTGGATCGAACCTCTGTGCTTTTCAATAAAAATCAAGCTTATCTAGCAATAGACTACATCACTATTACATGACACAATATACAACCGAGTTGTACTTATTCAAATTTTATCTAAATATCCTTAGGGTCCTAGGGGTCGAGACTAATCCGGGGTGGGCCGGGGCCCACCCTACACTTTATGTAGCTCCGCCCCTGGTATTTGGATAATTTGATTTGGTTAATTTTGATAATGATATATAAAGCTCAATATTATTTCTATAATGTATATTTGTATTATAAAGTGTAGATCAACAATAAAGCTCAATATTGTTTCTATAATGTATATTTGTATTATAGAGTGTAGATCATGATATATAAACACCCAATTTAGATACAACTCAAACAAATATATTAGATGAAAACTTGGAAGGCAAGTCTTTTTCAACCTATTATAATTGCTAAGAGACTAATTGAATGCACGCAATCACGATAATTAATTAACTCCATCCTATTGACATATATTTTTGTTAGGTGAAACTTCTATTGACTGTAAGATAATTGTATTAGTTGCATGTATTTCTATAATAACTGTGTGTGTTCATTGTAACGTTTTATTCATCATATAAATTGTGAATTGATGCATTGACCCAACATTTTCTCACTTAATGATAATGTGATGTTATATTGGTTAGTTTGGTTAACCAATTAACAAACCAATTAACCTTAGTTATGATGTATATTCTATGGTTAATAGAATTTTGGCTTATTTGGTTTGGCAATTACCATGGTAAGTTGGTAACTATTTGTAAACCCATATATGAATTTATAATAATATACATGTATATATAAAAATTAGTGTATTGTATTTTTCATTGTTTGGTCTATGGGATAGTTATTGGAGTATTTAAATAAGTTATATTACTTTTTAGATGAAATGTCATTTTTACCCTTTGTTTTTTATATAAGAAAGCAATACAAATAAAAAGGTAGATACATAGTTGGAAGGAAAAAAAACTCAACAATCTCAATAAAAAAAATCTCAACAATCTCACAAAAAACTTGAGACTTAATTATCACTCATTCTGAGCCGATAGTTTGTGTCACATCAAGTAAACAATACATGTATTGTTTGTCCAGAAAATTAAAAAAAAATGCATTATGGACAATGCATGCATTATAACTATCACAACCAAACAATCTCCAAAATCAAACCACCCCAATTTATTTTTCTTGTCATCTCTTCTTTTGGCTCTCTAATAAGTTGGTAGGAGAAGTTTTATGTGTAGTACTTAATAGCTATTTTACACATCTTCTCAAACGAAAGTCAACTTATGGGCTTGTAGTATGCACATGACTCTCGATACAATGTGCTTTTGAAGAACAGTTATTATTAGGGTCACGAGGACTTGAACTCGTAATCTCAAAGACAAATCAACTATGATATCATGTCATAAACCAATTGGTCACAATAACTCGAGTTTTGAGAGATGTCTATATATGATACCAAACCATTTCCTTACGATAACAGCCGATTAATCATTTATAGTACAATATGATGAACCATTCATAGTAAATCCATACTTGTAAAACAAACAACTTTAAACAATTTGAAATCCATATCAACCAACCAAAAGTTCTAATAATTATCCACACTATCCCACAAAAGGAAATCATAGGGGTGGACAACGGGAAACAAATATTTGAGTATACCCATACCCGTTCCTTTTTTTAGGATTACGGGTACTCAAATACCCGTAATTTTTTTACAGGATGGGATTGGGATCAATAAATTCTAAAATGGGTACCTACGAGTTACCTGTTAATACCCGTTTAAGTATTACGGGTATCCGTACTACCCGCCAAATACAAAGAAACACAGGCACCATGATGGGAACATATATTTTCAATTACTTGGTCTTG